CTAGATTACAGAATGCCATATGGCTCAGTATTAATAATGCATCAAGATGAAAGCGGTATTGTTATGTTGCAGCAACAAACGGTAATATGTTAATCAAGATTTTGATCAATAACAATACATCATATTTTTATTAGCAAAGTAAATCTAACTACAGCTGTTAGATTAACTGAGTTGGTAAAGCATGGAATTGTTTTTCCTCTGTAATGTACCCTAGAAAAATTCCAATACATCAAAAGTTCTTGAGTAAAAGTTCTTACTTTCCACCATTGTCAAGTGTAAAGTGGTCGCAAGATATTGTTGATAGAAAAAACTTGATAAAAACAAAAATTTTAAAAGCTGTAAGATATTCATGAAACATTCATTCAACTATGTGGACAAATGAATTCATAGTACTCTATGTGTGTCTCCTATACCTTCTATTACAGACCACTCTAGCCTTTAACAGATGAACATTGCTCTCTATTTACCTCAACACTTTGGGATCCCTTGCCAATACAACCCTAATATGCTGAGCCCATCTTCAGAGGATCAGAGCAAACAGATGGCAGCAAGCTGATAGTTGTTGTGGCATAAACAAACAGACACATCCAGCTGCCAGTTTTTCCAGGCTCTGAGTTATAGTAAGCATTGGTGAAGAATCCAGGACAAAGAAAAAGAATGTTACCAACCTGGAAGCTGGGCTACCTGAGGAAGGTCTAGTGTGCCCCTTCTGGCCCTGAGTGGAATAACAACAATGTCATAATGCTTTCTATAATCTGCTAATATTTATTACTACTTAAAATCAAACCAAGAGTAATAGTATTCCAAATGATGTTGTACTTTGTGAGTTTATGAACCCATCAAAAGAGAAGATGATTTACCAAATGAAAAATATCTTGTCTTACCAGGTATAGTTTTCCATTAGCAGCTGCATGGACCTCTGCCTGTTTTTTGCAGTACATTTTCCAGATTTCTTCATCAAAACCATAGTTAAAGTAATCTGTGATGTCAGCACCTAAAATAAAATAATTAAAAATGAATGAAAAAGTCTACAAAAAGTTAAAGAACATTGTCGAAAGAATAACAGGCTCAGAGTACAGCATTACTTACCAGATAACCTCCATGGCCTTTCCGCTGAAGACTCAGTGTCTCCATTCAGTGCTGGGATTTCCTCGAAATAGTTCAACTCTTCCAGGTATAGCGCCCTTGTGTCATTATAAGCTGTAAAACATTTGACAGGGTTCAACTCTCTGAAACAAATAGGGCTATTTGACTTATTTTCACAAAAAAAGAAATCAGTCAAGAGAGCTGATCTGAAATGAAGCAGAAATAATCGGTAAAGAGAGTTACCGAATGATGTAGGAAAAAGCAGACGTTCACCTAAGTGAAATATTTCCTGAGTCTTCTGACCAGTCAACTCTCTGTTTCAACATCTATATTGAATTGAGACTTCGATTTTTTATTTAAGAATGAATTGGAAAAAATGGTGATATAGTCTGTTTTGTTTTGTGTCTCTTTGTATTTTGAGCCATCCCTAAAGCTACCTACCTGTACTTACCAACTGTATGAGGTGGCACACTGCATTCAGCATCAGTTTTCAGAGGAACAGGTATATCCCCAGAGCTGAAAGCAAAGAGCCAGCACATCATCATCATGATTATCACCATCAACGTGACATTAACTTGAGAAACACTGTTGTCTGGGTTGAGTGCTAATAACCCAATCCGAAATGGCACCTCCTCAAACAAGACTAATATATCACAAAAAAACAATGAACATATCTCAAAGCTACATTTTGACAGAAGTGGGTTCCTGACTAATGATGCATATTCATATTATACCCAACAGGCAAACAAAGGCAATAAAAGGCGGAAACATTTTACATTATTTTGTCAGATGATGGAAAGTAAACAGTAACACTCTCATATGCATTGCTGCTCGGCTACAGAAGAATCCCTGCATTCATCAGCACTGTCATTGTCACTTTCTTCATCATCTTGGACAGCTTTCCAATTACCCCATGACACAAAAGAAACAGATGAAAATAATAATCAAATCCACTTGCATATCAAAACACAGTTTATGTATGTTTGTGTATTTCACACAGGCTACTTCAGTTAAGACCTTGAGACGAGTCACCCCTTTAAACCAATATATAAATGGCTATTGTTCAGTTGGAGAAGGCTAATAGTGACTTGATATTATCTTAGTTTTTAAGACACTATTATCCAGAACTATTCAAGTTTTGTTGGGATTCATGGTGGGTTATTCTAGCCCTAGTGCAACCAAGCTTTAAGTGAACCAAAATAAAATACCATAGACTGTTATCCTTTGAATATCATACACATTCACTTCAAGCCACAAAAAAAGAAAGAAAGAAGAAATGCCTGAACTCACAAAAAAAACAAAACTATTGTTTGAGCTTCGTAAGTTACAGAAACGTAGTGTAATTGCAAGGTTATGCCAAATGTACTAAGGCAAATAGGCTGAAGAATGCAGGCCAAAGATATCATCAGTGCTCCAGTTGTGTGATTGCTTACATCCACATTCCCAGCTCACAAATAAACACTGCTGGCCTTGCAGCAGATTTAATGAGCATCAAAATACTTCTTAATGTTGCACATGACTGGCTGCACATTTCCGGGAGCAGACATGGGGCCATCACACGCATTTTGTGCAACTATAATGATCACTGTCATTATTGTACTGTGAGAAGTGTATAATAACTGAATGCTTCATTGCTGTAATGCAGTTGGTTCTAATTGGAACGCCCGCCAGCAGAGTTCACTCAGCTAACTGTCAATAATGGCCTGTCTAACCTGTGTGGTTTAAACTTCTTAATTATATTATTAATCTTAAAAGTTCAATATAAGGTCAGTAAGTTATGTATCACAAAATATACTGCATGCCTAAATTAAACTATTATTTGATCATGTTCTAATGCTGCATATGTACAAGGTTTTAACGTCTGACCTGATGTACAATTCTTGTTGTGTTTTAAATTGCTGCACCTGGTGCAGTAATACTCACTATGCAGTGGCCCATTCTGGAATAATATATATTATTTGGGATTGTAATAATTTGATTGTAATCATGTTTGCATTCATGTGTACACAACTTTAATGTTGAAGCAAATGGTTCAGATGTATCTGACATATTAAATTAAACTATTAATCTGAATCTGCAAATAGCAATTGGGCTTACTGAAGTTGTCAAAGAGTGGAGGGAAACGTACATTTCCATCTAAAATGTAGTTCAATAAAAGTAAAAAAGGATCAGTAAATGGAAATACTAAAGTAAAGTATACCCTCAAAATAATAGGCTACTTGAGTAAATCTAATTAATGAGTCTACTTTCCAAATACAGTATAGTATAACAAATACATTGTGCATACAGTTTAATCACCTGCATACGATTTGAACGTCCTCTTTTTCCTCCTTGTCATTTGCGGGGATCAGGTCATAAATCACTGAAACACACGCAAACACATGACACAATTAAAGTCAAAGTTATTGGCCTGATTTGACACTTACACTTTTGTAAGTTGTACCAATCCACATATACACATAAACGACCATCACGATCTCTTTTGCTAATCAGAAATATTGTTTGTGTCGGCAGTAGCAGTTGCTTTGTGTCAACGTAATCTTACATTGGTATATCTTTCCCTCTTCGTCTTCGCTGACAGGGCTGTCGGTGAACTCCAACTCCGATGAAGACATTTCTGATACATAAACAGGTATATTTAAACAAATAAACACCAGCATTTAAATAAAAAAGTAACTATGTGCACTTTGAAAACGGGAATGTTCGATAATCAGTAAGTGCAAAAAAACGGAGAGTTGCCATGGACACAATTAAGAGAGAATCCAGCCTTGCGATTGGTCACAACAGGTATTGCATCATGTTGACCAACTGCAATTAGCTGTTTTAACCGTTGATATCAGAGCCATATTGTGTTAAGGATATGAGTGTACTTTATTTTATCCTTTATTTACTTCCAGTCATTCAAATGTCGTTGTAAATTGCAGTTTTTCTAGAGTGTCATTTTAATGAGGGAGCAGTAGAGACAGATCAACACTTTACTGTACACTTTCCCAATTATTTACAACAGCAATGGAGAAAATAAAGTATAGCATTGTTCTTCTAAATACTTGCTTCTTACTGCCACAACGAAAGCGAAAGTCAGTAACCTAACAAATATACACTTGTACTTACTGTAATGGAAACTTCAGGAGCATGGAGTCGAAACACAATGAGACACGGGAAAGCTGGAACTTGATGTCAAACACTGAAGATTTATTTGAAGTTACTGCGAATTGACAAAGACATTTGCTGCAGCCACAAGGTGACAGAGCGCTTGCCTAACCCATTCTGAAGATCTCTCACCCAGTCCCATGTATTTAGCTGGTACTGAGAGAATAATCAACATTCTGCAAAACAAGATAAAACTGGCATGAACAATGAGACATAACACAGAGAGCAAAGCACTCCAAGGTCGCATGCCTGTGCTCACAGAAAGTGATAAACTGTGTCAAAGGTATGGGCCCAGGAAATTTCCTCAACACTTTATTACTATATTTTTCCTACCACACCCCTTTTTAAAAACAAATAATGTTGTTATAGAATACAATAGCTGTATATTATAATCTATTGACATCTCTTTTTTTTTTAAATGTCTTTATTTTGTTAGCAGTAGCCTATATTTATTTTAGTTTATTTATATAAATGATCTTGTATTTTCCCCAGTTTACGATCTTGTAAATTATGTCGAATTGTTTGTCATTTAAACCACTTATTTCATTATCTATTGTAGTTTGGTGACTAATATTGTTATTCATTTAATTCTAATGTTGTGTTCCTTTTATTTATTGTCTTTCATAAAAGTGTTTTGGCTTTACAAGTGGGATTAATCGATAACAAGCTTTGACAGTAGTTCACGTGAGAAGCATTCGCTGGGTGCTTGTTATTGCTATAGCAACGACTCAGAGCTTCAGTGACGTATTTATTCTGCGACGCGCTATTGCCACGTCAACTTCAAGAGACTCGTGTGTTTGTTTTGTTGTTGGAGCAACTTTAGCTGACATTTCTGATGCGTATTTGAATTCGTTGCATTTCAGCTAACACTGATAATTAGCCACAATGCTGACGACGGAGGACTACACGCACTTCCCGGTCCAGATGTGGGAGAGGGTGCTGTCGAAGGTGAAGAAAGCGGTTGTTTTTATGGATGACAAGTGTGCAGAGTCTCTCCACTGGTGCGGAGGTGCTGCCGTCTTACTAGAGGCTGGAGCCCGAAATTTAAAGCAGTTTTCAAGCTTCGAAGCCTGTGGGGTGAACGAACCGAAAGCTGTGTTTGTGGTGAGCACTTTGTTAAAGGGAACAACGGGTGGAGATCCTTAAAGACATCATCTCCTCAGTCACTTCCAGTACTGTGTTGTCATCACCACTGTTGCTCACTCCGTACACCTGCTAGCCAACAATGTCACCACAGAAATGGAAGGCAGCCCTGTGTTTGAGCAGTTTGAAGAAAAGCTGTGCGAGTGGATGGGAAACATGAACTACACAGCGGAAGTCGTGCACGTCCCAGTGGTGTTCGCCCCGGTGTCCCAGCAGCTACTCCTCACGCCCATGTTTGCACACCTGTTTCCCTTGCTCCCACCTGATCTGGAGTCAATAAATGCAAAACGTCCAGAGAAGAAGAAGTTTGGAAGCTTACTCGACGTGGACATGAATTCTCTTCCTGTTGAACTGCAGTTTGAAATCAAATCCCTGGCTTCGGTGTTAAACTCAGTGTTTGAAGCTACAGGCACCAGAGAAGAGAGTTTCGCTGTGGGTCCCATGAGCCGCATAATAGCAGGGGAACTGGCCAATCACCCTCAAGCAAAGAACCGAAGGAAGGCGGCCCCTAATAAAGCCTCCATCATTTTTGTGGACAGAACAATGGATATTACAGGTGAAAACTGCAATAAAATTGTCCTATGACCAGTATCGTGGATACATATAGTATATGGATGTTTACATGGCTAACAACTGTTAATAGCACACACCTTGCTGAAAGAAGTACTCAGATGTTGCTCTTAAGCAAAAGTGCCAATTGAATGATGTATATGTGCCATGTTACAAGTGAAACACATTTGTAATAGTATTCAATGCTTTTGAAAAGTAAAGTATGTTATAATTTTACATCACTATAATTTTGACACTGGTAAAGGTTGAGCTATTTTGAAGTACTTTGTAAACTTTATCACACACAAATACGTTTGTTTTTATTCAACTTAATCTGCAAAGTAAATATGAATTGAAGTTTTAAATAACAGGTAGTGGAGTAAAGAGCACACCTTTTGCTTCTCAAATGTTGTGAAATGAACATTTGCCATTCTTAATAGTAATCATAGCTAAAACTGCAAGAAGAGTAGTTTTTTTTTCTTTTACTGAAATAAAGATGAATAGATGTTTGGTTGTTTTTCTTTTTTTAGGAGCTGTTGGTCACCATGGAGACAACCTGGTGGAGAAGATTATGAGTGTGCTTAAACCTTTACCTGGTCATGTGACAGACGTACAGGTGGACATGCTGGAGCTCACAAGTCTGCAGCGAACCCCTCACTCCCAGACCACCCTGGCCCCCGGCTGCCTCGCGCAGACCCAGTGAGTAGCTCTCTAATGGTGGTTAGTTGATAGCTATATCCCATGTTATGTTCAATGGTGTTTTAATGTGCTGTAAATACACACAGCTTTTATTATGACATACAACTGATTTTGATGGAAAATAACTTTTATTGGTGTTGATCATTTATTGAATGTCCCTTCAGCCATGATTTAAGACCCAAGAGTCGGGACAAGAAAAGAGAGTGTTATAGGAAAATCACACAGACTCCTCTCTGGGATTTGTGACCTATACTACAGCCAGCCACTAGGGTCGATCAAAATGTTAGGATTTGACTTTATACAGTCTATTTTAATAATTCTTACCTGTGGCCCTAATCTTTACCCTAGTAAAGTTTGAGCACATAAATACCTGTGTTTTCCTCTATGGGAGCACACAATACCTCTCAGGCTCAATAACGGTGTTGTTGTATACAAGTATGCATTCCAATTTGATAAAACATAGATTAAGTTTGAACAAAAGAAAATTAGGTCCAAGTTCTGAACCTGCCAGCCTGATTTGGCATTTATTATTTGACTGACCTCCAGATTACTCCTGTACTTCCGTTTGTATTATGGTTAAATGTCTATGAGTTACCGAAGATAATAGCAGATATTTGGTTTTCCTCCTCTTCATCAAATATATATTTGCTTATTTAAATGTGTTAAATGATGTCATCTGACTAGAGACGGGTAACATGGCATTTCAAATCTGAATCCTTTCTTATTGCTCATCAAATCTTTTCAGGTAGAATGAAGACCAATATAAGTATATTACCAACTTGTAACCACATCCAAAATTGAACTGGTCATTGGAACCCATTCCCATCCCTACCACTGACACAACCACAATAAACATTTTTGACATACTTTGCACCTGACCAAACACACACATGCACAAACACACACCCACTAGCTAGAGCCAGCCCCCACTGAATGAGTTGAGTGGCACATGACCTGCATCAGGTGCCGGTGGTTCAGTGGAGCTTGCCTCTAGTCTTGGCTGTGCAGATGCACGTGTTCAGCGCCTGCGGTGAGGCTGTTGTACATGGCAGGGATTAGCCCTACATCATGTGTTCCACTCCCGCTTTGCCCCCTTCATGTGGTTGAAGGAGGAAAATACTTTGACTTAGAAGAAGAGTTTTGTGGCTTAAGCTGTCATGCAGTGTGTCTGGTGGAATTGAGTTCATGCACACGCTCACATATACACTAAATGCAGCAGGGACAATTCTCAACTAGGTGGGAGGTTCTGTTGTAATGGAACCAGTCTTATATGTTGCTAGTCAGCACTATTTAGACAGTGTGGACTGAAGCATATAATGTGAGCACAGCAGGGGCAGGTTGCACCCACCCTCAGATGCAGGGCTCAGTTAAAGGGCACATGAACCTATAGATCCCTACAATACACCCACAAATGCATATCTCAAGTCACTGTAGTTAAACGTCTTGGTTGCACAAACACAGCTGTCTCTGTGGATGAAATGTTTTATGCATGCTTAAGGCTGCAGCAACAAGCCTCTGACATTGCCAACCTATCATACAGGTTTAAGTATGATGATGGATAAGAGGTTGGGATTGGTGGCTGTGCAGAGGTTGAGGTAATGTTTGCGGCAATGTTTGCAATTATTGTTCCAGATCTTCCCAGAGAGTCTCGGCCAAACACCACATCTCACAACATTTAGATAACCGATTCAGATATTGTATACAACTCCTAGCAGATGCTACAAAGCAAATAGACTGAGGGAAAATATGTAGCTTAAAATAATAAGTAATACGGCAGGGGCTGTGTTTGTGATGATCAGGGACAGCCGGATCAGTGGGAGCATTATTGCCGCGGTGCTATCTCTGAGCAGATGGCCCAGTTGAGCCTTATCACAGATGTTTAGGATATTGAAGAGCTGCCTTGGCACTGCAAGAATGAAGCCTAGAATTCCATCTTTATTTAACTGCCTTCAGGAACACAGCTCACCACAGCTAGACTTTAAGTCAATCTCTGTAATACGTTCAAGACAGGGCTCTGCAAATGCATGTTTGTAGAGATGTACTGCTCTTAAGCATTAATCTCTCTTAATTCCATCCAAAATACGAAAGCACATATTTCTAAAATAGATTGTTTTCTTTCCATAATATCAAGTGTGCAAAGCAGCAGACCTTGCTGGCTCTTTGTGGTTCTATTGTCTATATAATACGTTCTCTCCTACTCCATGTTTATACACCTATGATTTGTTGAGCTATTTTTAGCTCAGACCACTGTGTGTTTTGATTGGGTTTGTTGTGTAGAGCCCACTCAAGCCTTTAAATAATAGGTGTGGACCTAATTTGGACCCTTTTGTATGATATTTCCCTCAGTAATTCCAGGATATTTTTATAGATTACCATGTCTTAAACATTCTGTGGGTGGTTGTTGATTCTAGCTCTCCTGGCAAGACCCCACACTTACTTTGCAATTACTGTCGTATTGTCTTTCATAAACTGGCGTGAATTTTCCTTATCCTACAACCTGACTTTTACTCTGTGGTTCCAGGTATTAAGCCTGAGACAAAGTATACTTTGTGTGGGTGTATATGCACAGACATTTTGCCTGCTCTGGTATTTTGTTTCGCCATTCTTTAACTATGGCATTTTCCCCTACTATTAAATAGTGCCAGGAAGAACAGTTAGCTGTATATAGAAGGATGTTGAGTGAAAGTGGCAGTGGGAGGGTTGTTTTGTGTATATGTGTGTTTGTGGTCAGGTACCTTCCAGCCCAGTCTGTATAATTTGCTGTGCTTGGCTGCACAGCTCTTGTGATCTCGAGGAAGACATATGAACCCCACTGGCAGAGGGCACCAAGTTTCCTTCAGTCTCAGACTGAACCCTGCACCCCCGTCATCTGGTCGTCTTCGACCTTGATCCTGTGGTGGGAGTGTGTGCCTGTGGGCAGAACCCAGTACGGGTGGCCAAGGTGCTCTGGGTCTGCCTCAGGAGCTGCTGAGCTTGAGCCAGCCAGAGCAACCGACCGCACCCTGCCATAAGAAAACACGGCGAGGCTGCCATCTCCTCAATTCTGCCCAGCACATCATGCATGGGTACCACCAGGAAGGAGGGAAAACACCTATTTCTGTCCTAGCTGGGAAAAAGGAGCCTGAATAAAAAGCTATGCACTCTTGAGTTCACGCTGTATCGGGAAAAGAAACAAAAACAACAGAGATAGTAGAGTGTGGAGAGGAGAGAGCAAATGACAGACAACTGAGAACAGCTAACCCTGGATTATCCCACCAAGAATAAAAACAACATATTCATTCTATGGTGGCTCCTTATGGGGTACATTCTGTTTGTTATACTTACTCAACTTGAAGTTAGGCAATTCAATGATGTTAACCTACAACTAATGATACATATTCGTCAGTTCAGGTAGTCATGCCAACAGAAAATAGTTTTTTCTTGTAGAATAAAACTTTGCACTTGATGGAAATGGCAGCCTTCCACACGACGTAAGTGAGAGCCAAATGGGACTATAATAGTCACAATTTCACAAAAAGGAAACAATTTTCCCTCTGGGTCAAATGCGTCAGTGCGAAAGTAACACAGTTTAGCTGCTTTCATCTTATAACTTATCACCCTGATTTCATCAAGACTACCCTAAAGGTCAATGATAACTCGAACAGAGATAATAAATAGTGTTTGAATTTCTGTAGTTATTTATAGGAGATGCAGGGATTTAGCCATATCTTAGGATCCAGTGAGCTGACATGTCCCCTGGCCCATTTCAGATGTTGTGTCTCTGTTTCTTCCACTGCCGAATTCTTCTTTCTCCCCGGGTGTAGAACGTATCTCATCCTGAAACCCTCAGTACATCAATCAAGTAGATTACTTTCACCTGAACAACTTGTACTCCGTGTTCCCATCAAGACTGAGATAACATAACCTATTCTGTCTTGTATGCCTTCTTCCACTCTGTAATTTGATATACACTGCAGATCCCACTTTTTCTTTGGGAAAGAGTGCATGCATTTCTTCAGTTAGATAATAAAACACCCCCTGAAGATGATACTTAAAATCCTCCAGTCCTTCTCCTTCAAAGAGCCCCTACTGTTGGCTCTCATTTGAAATGATACAAATACAGCTAATATCACAAATTCTGAATGGATGTTCATTTGAGTTTTTCCCCCAACAAATCTGTAAATGTATAAACTGTTACTGTGTAAATCATTCATAAACGTTTACCTGACACACTAGAAATGTTAATTAATGGAAACATTCTTGCTCTTGTAATTAGCATTTTAAGATTTATTTTTCATTCCAACACATACTTTGTGCTTCTTGAGGATGTTAACAACGATGTATTTCCCTATTCTTTAATAGAAAAAAGCTATATATGGAGTTTTGACTGGACGGAGGTGGCCAATGAGTGCTCCTGGTACTTCTGCGTTGGTGTGTTTTAGTACGTCCCTCTCCCTCCTATCCCCACTTCCTGCAGAACTCCTCTTGCCCTTTTTCTTTCCCAATAAATCCGCTGGGTCATTTGTCCCCCTTGCCAGGACACACAGACACTCAAGGCCAGGTCTGGTTTTGGTCCACCTCTCTCTCCCTCACATGTACATGAGGATGTTTACAGGAAACCGACAGTGTGTGTTGCCCCATTAAACACACTTCATAAATTAACTCACTGAGGGATTGCAGCTGACCTTGCACAATCCTGTTAGGCAGAATCTTTGACAAACAGTACACATTGACCTGTTAGAAAGTACACACTCACACACACACACACACACACACACAAACTAACACACACACACACACGTATGAGCTTTAATCACATCTCAGTTGCTATAGGCAACCAGATTATTATTTGTACATGTACCTCTAGTGGTTTCCAGCCATGCAGAAAGAATGATTTTATGATACCTTTATCCAAGATTTCTACCATCAATGCAATAAGATGCACTTACATTTTGTTAATTGGGTGACGTTGAGAAAAATAGGCCCGGGTGATGTTGAGAAAAATAGAAACACATTTTAACAGCAATTGGCCTTTTCAGAAATAATAAAAGTAACCTGTCCATTGAATGCCCATCAAATGTTCAACTGGTCGTCTTACTAAATGTACAGGCATATCTCAAAAAGTGATCAGGGAAAATGATAAAGCGAGACACTACTAGAGGTAAGTGAGAACATGTGTTTTCTGTTATTTGGGGGAACTTACCTTTGTGGCCAACTATCCAGGAGGCTTCATCAATCATATGTATGAATCACTTTACTGTACTTACGGTATAAGCTTGTTCGTCTGAGGTCAAAGTAAGGAAATAAACACTGAAATGTGTGAGCATGTTCAACCAAATGTTGATGGGGCCACAGGATGGGGAGTACATTTAAGAAATCCTGAGTCAGAACGGTTGGAGCCATTCTTTTCTGCTGCATCACCCTCTTCCAGGAATACTATCCCCCTCCTCACCCCCACACTCATTAATTTGTTGGACCCGGTCAGGGGTATTTCATCACTTTAATCGTACGCGTTCATTCTTCTCGTAGTACGCACATCTTTCTTAAAATTCCAGTATTTGATACTTAACTGCCTTTTATTTGTACAACACTTATTACACATCTAGTGGAATTTAGTTTGGGCACCAACAGCCCCTCACTCACCAACAGCCTTTCCAAGTCAGTCAGAGAGGATGTTCACTGTGGTTACACGACCCAAGAGCGAGGCTGCCCCCTTCAGTCTAGATCTGAGCAGCCTTTGCAACAAACAGAGCCATACTGCGCTTAACGTTTCCCCCCCCCCCCCCCTCCCCCCTCTCTCTTCCATAGTAGAGAAGTTACTCAACAAGGTTCCTGGCTGCTTATGGAGCCTGTCTCACACCCTGCCAGTATAAACCTCTCCCCTCACCCCTCGGCCCAGCTTGCACCCCCGCCTTCGTCTGACCAAATGGCCATGGGTAAACGTCAGGGGAGTGGGGCCAGTTGGCGGGGGGGCTGGTTGAGCCAAATTGGAACCATATTTCATCCACACTCTACTGAAGCCCTCAGTCTTCCAAATATACACAGGGATGCACAGTGGTGTGTGCAAACATATACAGATGCATGTGTTGGCCTGGTCAAGTCACCCCATTGGTATTTCAACCATGACAAGTATGCAGGACTTCACAATTTGCGTAATCCTGGCAGTCCTGACAGTCCATCAAGAGCATGGGAGGTGTTTTCTGAAGGATTATGAGTGTTTTCCAGAAATGAAACCCTGTCATAGCTCTTGACCAATAGCTACAATGTTTTATCTGTGTCTTAATCACATTATAAGCAATTGAAAAGACTGGAATTGAAAACCTGATTTATCTTTCTTGATTCTTGAACTTTCTTTCTGTTTTCACTGTAACTGTTTTCACATTAGACTTTTGTCCTGGCTGAGTCATGTTCGCCGGTCTTTGTGTCTGGTTCTAGTGTGAAGATGGCGGGCCTCCCAGTGTGAGCCCCTCTACTCCCCATCTAGCCCCAGCCTAAGGTCTGGAACAGATTTCATCTGATATTAAACAGATGGCAGTAAGAAAGGAGAAAAGTAGGGAGAAAAAGAAAAAAGTTAAAACAGAAAAAACAGAGTGGATTCGTCAACGAGCTCCCTCCTCCCCTCCCTCCACTGTGTCCTCAGCCTATTTTCTCTCTTTGTCTCCCTCAGTTCAGTTTCTGGTCACTCCTGAGAGAAGATGTCTTCTTGTCAGTCTTGCTGTCAAAGGCAAAGACATAGATGTAAGCCTTTGATGCCCTTGTATCCAGCCAACAATGTGTCACTGTCTTTAACAGGGCAAGACATCTGAGAGAAGACCAATTGAGTAGCTTGAATTCAGAACGTTTTACAAGAGAAATTGTGACTATCTAGGACACTAATCTGCAGGACACTCTTTGTTTCTTTCACAGAATGACTTGAAGCTGTTTCCACTGCTCCTAACAGATGGTAGTAGTCTTACGCACATGCCTTGTCCTCAGTTTCCCATTAAAGATGTGGATCAGTGTGTTTCATAACCTAGCGGATAATGAGACGAGGGACTGAGATGGTATCAAGAGGAGCCTTGGTCTCCAGACTCTGTTGCTCTGCCCCTGATGTAAGGACAGCACTGATCGGTCCAGAGGAATGTTGGCACACAGACTTTTTAGGTGGATTGAAAACATTCCTAATGTTCCCTCTGCTAATTTCAGTTTTTTCCTGTGAGGGGTCCCATAGGGGAGTCGTCACTCCCCGACCAGCAGGCTATCACTGAGACGAGCACTCAATCACGTCCATGTTGTCCCTTTCGTTTGTATAATCAGAGTCCTGCCTGTTCTGAGCAACCAGCATGAGCAGCAACAGTTGCTCAGCTTGTTAATGCTGAAAAAAACACTGTTCTTTTTTTTTACCACACTATTTTTTTCCTCTCCTCATGACTTAATGATCTGTTTGACTGTTTTTCCAACCAGGTCACCAGCAGCTCAGACTCTGTGGGAGGCCATGCTGACCAATAAACATAAAGAGGGGGTGATGGAGGTCCGTCGGCAACTAGTGGAAACAGCCAGCAAAGAGAAGCTGCCAATCAAGATGAGCATGGGTGAGAAACTGAATGCCACAGATGAATTCAAATACACAACTTGTTTCATAAAATAAAACACAGAGTACAGAAACAAATAAAGAATGAACATGAGCAAATCCACGTGAAATGAAAACATCACGATGATAATGTATATTCTTAGAGAGTCGCGTGTCTGTATTTTGGAGCAGCACCATAGCGCCCCCTACTGATATCCAACTTCTCTGCCTTACCGTGTGTTTGCCCATGTGGCCACAGAGGAAATCTGAACCACATGTTGGCTCTATGACACACACTTACACACTCTCTCTCACACACACACACACACACACACACACACACACACACACACACACACACACACACACACACACACACACTCCATAACACACGCTGCTTTTGAAACTTTTGTTGTTTGTTAATGAAGCAAAGGGGGCTCAGGCAAGGGATATAAATATGTGTTGGCACGCACACATAAAGTCATTACATGCACAAGTACAATGTCCTTATGCACATTTACCATTATGCTGCCCTTTGACTCAAATAGGTAATGGTTAAACTGCACACACACAAACACACACACACTCATACATGCAGGGCTAATATGCAGGTTAGCATCTGGCAGGAACGGGGGGGGTTAAAAGGGAGGGGCCGTGTGGTCCCTCAGCGCCTATAATCTGTGAGGTAAAGAAGGTCTCGTCTCTCGTAACAAGCAGGTTGTAATATGTTGGAGGTCACACACACACACAAACATATGCACACACACTCTGCCAAGCATCTGCACACGCATGGTGGTTTCTTTTCACACATTTGTGCAAAAATCAGTTCTTTTGAATCTAGACGGCTGCTACATTGTGGATGTTGTCAAATGCAGAACAACGTGCATACATATAAATAATGAAGAGATCAGGAGTGACGGGGAAAGCAAGAAAGTATGAAGAAGGTGCTGCCTGCTGACTGACATTAAAGCTGCTGCCTCCTGCTGACTGACAGTCTGTTGACTTAATGTCTTTCCTGAGAGAGAGAGAGAATAAGAGACAGGCAGGGGGAGAGGGGGCACTGTCAAACCCCTCACACACTGAACCCTTCTACCCCGCTGGCACAGGACCAGACTCCATGAAGCCCCCTAAGCTCCAATCACACCCCCACACAGTTCCCATCCTGCCCACCGCCAGCACCACCAGCGGAGTTCTCAATCCATCATGCTCTGCTCATATGAGAGCAAGTTAAACCCAAAACGCTTAGCATTAATGCCTATCTGCTCTCTCAGTGCCCACTCACTCTGTAGGAGAGCAGCATTTTCCCACTCTCTCCAGAGCACATGATCACTCTGGCTGGTTTATGCACATCATGAAGAAAATAGTGTCAGGATACCGCAGGCCCTGCAATCTCACATACACACAGACTCAACTTGGCTTCTTTTCATCTTATCAGGATCAGATCATCCAGAGAGAGACAGAGAAAATAATCCATTTTCTCAGAGCCCGAGAATGACCCGTCAGGTCTCTCATAGCACAATAAGATGATGAAATTCCCTTGCTGTGTGTGTGTGAGTATGTGGTTGTGCTGGGTCCAGTGTTTATATTGGGTGTTTTTGCTCTTAGCAGGGAATTAGTGAGACGGCTTTGGTTTCATCGTCTGTAAAAGTGCGTTTATCTATTCATCTCTGGTGTGTATGTATGCATGCATATGTGTGCGTCACAAGGTTATACAGTTTGTGTATCTATTGTGTGCACTGATACTGCAGTGTAAATGAGATGTGTTGACAGGGCCTTTCTCCCTGTGGTACAGTACAGTCTTCTCTTTTCATGAGCGAGTCTCAAGCAGATCATTTATTGGATTCATAATTTCAAGCTGTGAGATCTGGGAATGTAATATCACAATGGTTTCAGATTTAGTGTTCATGTTTTACAGTATCATCTCCCCTATTTCTTAATTTAAAATTCACTATCATTTAATTTAATTTGAGCAATAAAAGCATATTTTTAGGGCGTTGAAGATTTAATCTCAACTTTGAACAGGCAAATGAAAGCAGATACGATACGATCACTTGCATATATTTTTTACTTAATAGAAAGCACGGATACAATATGTTTCTTCGACACAGACACTGAGGAAGGTCTTTGAGTAATGTGGCACTGTGGCTGCCCTGTTGTAACCTGTGATCCCTACTCCTACTGTACTGTAGAGTCTTAAAAGGGGCCTCAACATACACCCACAAAAAGAAGCCCCAGAACTTTTCCCTTCTTAAAGTGCATAAATAAATGTGTCTCAGCCTTCCTGTGTCCCCCATCCATGTAGAATTACTTACGAGGCTGTCCAGTTGCTGAGACCAGCCACCATCAGACATCACTTAGCCTCTGAGTAACCCTGTGCACCTAGAATGCAAGTCATCTTCCAGTCACAGGACTAAATCATGGTTGGCCCCTGCCCTTTTTTTGCATTGTTCAGGACTTTGATCGTGGCCCAACCTCAATTGCCACTTCTGCACATCAGGCTAAAATGGGTAGGAGCTCCAACAGTTTATAGCATTTGACTTAAAGATGTGATTTTGTTTTATGGCTGGTACTGCAATAAGTGCACCCAGAGGAACAGTGGAATGGCCTTAAGGTGCAGGTTTCCCCTGTTATCTTAGAGAGTATTGAAACAGCAACAGTATTGTATGTACTCGAAAACCATTGGGAATAAGTTACTGGTGAACAAAACAGACGCACTGATTGAAATAACTCAATCTTTCTTGCACACGCTATTTATTTAACTGAGCACTATATTAGAAGCATGTCATATAGATGACACTTGACCACAGTTTAACTGTATAAATAAAACATTAGCTTGTGTTTTCACACACCAGATGTTAAATGTGTATATTTAATGCATTGAAATGACCTAAAGTATACTGTTGTTTAACAACTTAAATAAAGCCAATGTGGACAAATATATTCAAAGCACAAGAACAGTGTCTTTATACTGGTACAGTCTAATTTATTTGAAGCTGAAATTAAGAGCATTTCCAGTACTGCTATTCCTGCAGAAACACCCCAGTATAAAACCACAGCTCAGCTGACAGATCATCACCCTGAGATTAGTTTGCATCTGGCAACAAGATGCCTGAGGAATCACAGAACTGTTTACAGGGAAGTTAAGTGACATAGATAAGAGCTAAGGCTTTGCAGGGCTATTTGATTTTCAAATGGAGAACAGGCTTTTATGTGTTATTTTACAATGTCTTTACATTTCTCACTTGGTCTCATATGATCTAGCCAAGCTGTAAAGCCTGAATATATTTGGCCTACAGTGTGCCATTCTTTTCCTGTTCTTGGGTGAAATTATGCTTGGCCTTGGCTTTGGATGTATTTCCTGGTTCTGTGCTGAATTATGGTTGGCACATCAAGCTAAGAGAACCTTGGTTAAACTGCCAGGGTTTTATGGCTGGATATGTTCACAATAGAGCTTTTCAGGATTTGGAATATGTCTGGCTGTATGTCTGGAGCTCATTCTTCAAAAATAGTTTTATTTCAGTGAAAAATCTGGTTCCCTTTTGTAGAGATTCCCTCTGTATTGCCAGTACAGTAAGTGGCACACAACACACTAAGTCTTTCACTTCGGTTTGGAAAGTAGGCTTCCAAACTTTTCAGAAATCTACTTTTCTGTTTGGTTTACTTATCAGCTTATTAAAAAAAATATGTTTTTGTTACTAGCTTCCCTGGATGATTCTCTCCAAAATGTCTATCTGGAAATATTTCACATCCAAAGATTTTTTCATCCACTTTTATAAAGCTAAAAAATGTGTTCCGAGACCCCAACCACTTAACTTTTCTGGATATTTCTGCTCAATTCTTCTTATCCTGCCTGTCTGTTTCTCTTCTAGTCATGTGTTTGGCCCCGCTAAAGAAAACATTGGCCGTGTAGTCCAACAGGAAATACTCCCACATCTGGTGCTGGTTCAGAACATCAACATGAAGAAGTAGGCTTTATGGGGAGTTAATGTGTGCCCCCTCTCTATCCCAGCCCCTAACACAGCCGCTCGTACCTCCAGGCCACCCTGTGCACCCCCTCCTAGACTTTACACCCTTTACTTAGCTCTTCCTGTGTCTCTGTGAATCTTCGTTGGAGAGGTGGCAGAGAGACAGAGACAAAGTGTGAGGAGTCCACTCTTTATAGCTGCCTCTATTAATGTTCACAGATAAACTCAGATTTACACTTATTAGTCACACACAAGATGGGTTCCCAGGGACTCTTATCAGAGTTCCTGCACCTCTGCTATATGGAGACTCACGCAGTGATTTTTAGTCATAAACTGTGACTCATGAACACATCTTCCTCTAAACTCTGACAGCCACTCTACCTGAAACTCTCACACATAGAGAATATTGCTTTCTGCTTGGCACAGCTTCACAAACCTCTGCTCACAGCTCTCCTTTTTCTCCTAGTTTGTGATCATTAAGATAATATTATGGTCTGGTTTGGTATCAGTCATTCCCCTCTGCCCTAAGCTGAGTGTATATTAAAAAGGTTGTTATGCTTGGGAAAAGGTTTTCTATTTGTACGGTTTTCCCTCTCCGTTCTTCCCGTCAGGAGGAATAATTGTGTGTGTGTCCGTTGTGTGGGCCCGTTAACCTTATAGTTTTATACTTGTTTTTAATGGATGGCACAGAAAAGACCAACTGGCCAACAGCCAGTGTACACTATGGGATTATGATATACTGTATAATGTACGCTGACCAATATGAATGGATAACTGTGATGGCTCCATAAATATTAACAGTACTTTCTTCCCTCCTCTCAGGCCGTGTGACCCCCGAGCAGCTGTGCTCCTACATGCAGCTGTTCAAGAGTAGTTGGGGGGCGCTAGAGAGTCACTGCGGGGTGCTCCAGCTGGGCCTGGCCACGTCCCAGACCCTCCGCCACCCCAGCCTGCCCCGCTGGGATGCCTGCCTGGCCTTTGAGAGGCTGCTGCTGCAGGTCTGTACTCATCTTACACAAAACTGTTATCCATATGGGTTGTAGGCAATAAAAAGTAAATCAAAAGTCTAAAATGGATATCCACCACAGATGCAAGCAATTTTCTTTTTTGATATTAAAGAATGTGGATCAAATAACTTGAATATTGCAAACAGATTTTTACATTCTATCCTGTACACCGTTGCACTGACGGAGTGTAATAGAAGAGCAGCACATATGATGGCAATTTGTAATTGCCTTGGTAATTATTCTTTCGAATCTTTCCCTTCGGGTAAATATGTTATTACCGACGCTCAGCAGGTAAGTGGCTGCTTGTGGTTTGCTAGATGTTGGCCAGAATGTTGTGTTAAACTGACAGGGACAGGAAAACATGCAGATTCCTCTCCTTCATAAACAAGGTCAGTTGTGTTTGTAGGGTAAACATTTGGATCCAGTAAACACAGCAAAAAAGCCAGATTTTCCATCATGTTGCTTTGAGGCTTTTTGAGGTCTAGTTTACGGGGGCGGACAGCGGCGGATGTCCACGTGTGTTTGACTGTGGAAAGGTCAGAGGGCAAGCCTGATGGAGAGACAGAGGGGTGAGTGTAAGAATAAATCAGAAGCAAAGCCAGCCAGTCATCACATCAGCTCTTTAGCAGTGATCAACTGATATTGTAGGAAAGAGCACCAAGCTGAATGGCGCCATACTCTGCGAGATAATAAATGGTAAAGCCGGTTTTATCCTTCTCTTACCTTGCTATTTTCATTGAGTCGCTGTATATTCCTGAAGCTGTAAAGCAAGCAGCAGAATAGCAAAGTATTTAGGAACTTATTAAACTAAATCACGGAAAAGTAAAACAAGCTTGCAGCAGTGCCCTATGCCAAATTGGAATTTCAAAACAACCTCATAAACCTTGGTCCTCAGCTGGGGCCATCATTGGTTTATTAAATGAAGGAAGAAGACTTAGGGCTTATAGTCCCAGTATCCATTCACTTCATGACCCCACTTGATCCACTCGCTACCCCATGGATATCTCCTATACCTGGATAATTCAAAGCACAACATTCTCACCACTGTTTTGTAGTTTCAGTCTCATAACCACCAGGTTTTAGGAACTGCGTCCCGTTAAACTGACGATGACTAAGTTAATAACAGACTGTTGTTGTGTTTAGCATCAGGATAGTATAAAGAGCACCTGGCATTGGTTCAAAATGAAATTCTTCAAAAATCAAATCTCACAATCAAGCCTTGAGCGCGATGTGAGAGTTGCTGTTTGCAATCAAAACGGCCCTGAGTTTTATTGAGGTATTAAGGGAAATGAGTTGTGTGTCCTCTGTGCCCCCTCTGTTTATTTAATTTCCATGTGAGTTTTTTTTTCTCTGGCTCAACATGGACAGAGAGAAGTTAATTACATTACAAAATGGCGGGATGAAATGCCTTGCAGCTCTGGCTGGCGGTTGGGCTGTGTTTGCTCTGCCTGAGTGTGTGAGGGCTGCTGTGGATAGTACTGGGCAGAGCCGGTCGCTCCATCGCTGGTGGACAGTGTGAGTTCATTCAGGTCAAGTCTGTGGTGCCTTGAAGTGGGCCTTGACTGAGGCAAAGGGCCATTCAGTTCAGGGACCAGCCTAGTTTATACCTTTCCAAATAGTTATGCATATACTTTGTCTGCATACTATATAATAATACTGTGTAATTGCTACTTTGAGACCTAAAGAATCATATAATTGCTCATGAGGTAGAGCTTAAATATGCTACTGTTTAAAAATGGGGTTTGTTTTTGCATACTTTTTAATGGTGGCCTTCACTTGAAGGAGATATACCTGTGAGGGTCATGCAGCTGTGAGATTGGCAAGATAGGGAAACAGCTGTGGTTAAAAAGCTTGACATGTAATGTGGTGTGATACATGTTGTTTATACTGAATTTACAGGGACTGCTGGATTACCTCCTCAATAAAGGACTTGTATTTTGTGTGAGATGGTCAGATATCTTGTTGGCTGGCACTGCCACCCTGCTCGCTGTCTGGCATGTAACTGGGATTTGGTCTGAATGGGTCAGATTGAGCAGGCTTGGTCCATCTCCAGCCCGCAGTTACAGAATGTGTATGCTAGACGTGTGCAGCCAAGGCAAAACTCAACAGACTCACTCTTTCACCACTTCCCAGAACATCACAGGCACCCTACCTTCCCATCATCGGACCGCCAGAGCCTCGACCTCACCAAACTAAACATGTATACTACTACTGTACATCCCTCCCAGAGAGAACTGACTTGTTACAGCAATTACTTTGTAAGGCTAGTATTGTCTTTGGGTGTGCTGTGCAGTCTACTGTTCATTAGTGTGTCACATCAGTAAACATAGTAGCGATGACAGCGGTGCAGTGGAGAGGGGCTAACCTTCCTCACCCCGGCCTGTTGCTCTACTCTGCTGGGATTACAAGGGCAGGACTCTGCAAACATTCAAGCTCCGAGTTATTACTGGTCACAGCACAGCCGTATGTCCCGGCTCCCATGAGTCACTCATACTGCCTGCCTGGTCCTTATCTCTGTCTCTGCTTTGTGTTTGTGTTTAAGTCTGAACAACTGTTTATATGTAAGTTAAAAACAAGCTATGAACCCAATTCCCTTGACATTAATTTCCAGAAGCTGAAATTGTTCATTAGCACTCATTCGTACAAACACAAGATACAGATCCAAATGAGTCTTTTTGCAAGCATTTACCAGCATATGGTTCAAACCCCACTGCAGTCAGCATGTCGTTGTGTCCCTGGGCAAGACACTTCACCCCAAATTGCTCCTGTGGGGATTGTCCACAGTATTGAGTATGTAAGTCGCTTTGGATAAAAGCGTCTAACAAGTAACATGTATTATTATATGACAAAGTAGTTTACCAAGACAACCAATTAGCGGTCTTTGCGAGTCTACTTGGTAACAAGGGTTGACACAGCTAATATCCAAATACCGATCATGTTGATTGGGTTGGGTTCCATTGTCTAGATGTCAACATTGTAGTTCGAAAAGATGCTAGACTTTAGAGGTCTGTATTGGAAAAGGGAGTTATCTGGGAGTTTAAAAAATAAACTGTATATTAGTCAGATGTAGAGATATAGGGGGAGATGGGAAGACATGTGGCTAACGGCCCAGGTTAGAACCAAGTCCGCTAAACTAATGGCTTATCCGTTCACTATAGTTTCAAATACTGACATATCTTCAAACAGCTTATACTGCTCACTCATTGGTTTTAGCTCTTGTAATGCATAGTCCACGAGTTGGCCCAAGAGGAATATCAGCTCTCGTCGTGTAATCATCCCAGGAACGAACATTTGTTTTTTTTACACAAGAAAAAGAGGGAGAATTGTCAACCTCAGGTGAAATTATACATACACCTCTCTGCGATTGCTCAATAATTGGTGGAACATCCTACTACTCCGAGTGTTGGTTTTCTCTTTTCGCGTTTAAGACTAATCTCTTATCTATTGTGATTGTATCTTCAAGATAAGTCGTTTTCAGACTTTGACGTGCTGAGTTGCTTTATCCCCCACTCTATGTTGTGATGAGGGATTATCTGTATAGCCAGGTTGGAGCCTGGTGACCCACATATTCCATTATCTGCAGCAGTACAGTGTCAGTGTGTGCTGACCAGTGCTGACCAAAGACTCATGACCCTTCACCTCAATCCCTTGACCCCTCCAGGACACTGACCCGTAGATGCTCAGACTCGCAGGTCTGCAGTCTGACAGTAGTCTGACAATTATAAATTGTTTTTTGACAGAAGACAGGCAGTCATATATGTAACATCTGGATTGTATCATTTCTTATGGCGACAGAAGGAAAAATGTTGATATTTGTCCCAAGTAACTTTCATCTTATCTGAGCTGCATGCCACAGACAGACAGGGGGCTTTAAGCCTGTAATTGGTCTTTCCCCGGGGTATGGAGCCCGTCCCCACATCCCAGACATTCCCCTTATTCTCCATCTCTGCTGTGTCCCTGCAGCCCCCACAGTGACAGGCGGTGGGGGGGTTACTGTGGTTTGCTGGAGATTGTAACAAAGGGGTGTGATTGACTCCGGGGCACTGCCCTATGATGTCCAGTACTGACCTTCTCCAGTTCCCCACTGTTTAACAGCCTCACATCTGGACTGACCTGGTCTGACCGTCTCCCCATCTATCCACCTTTAGTACCTCACTCTGCCCTCTTACTGAGTGTCTGCTCCGAAAGCCCCTCAACCCTGGAGCAACACAGATCCTCTCACAGAAAGAGCCACAGGAGGTTCATGATCAACTCCTGTCTGCCTCTTGACCAAGTGGCTTCTCTGCCTCCGTCCTATCTTCTTCCGTTCATCCCTTTTTCTCAAAACCACGCTTCTCTTCTAAATATGGCATACTGTATCTCTGTTATGTGTTCTCCAAATAAATGCTTCAATGCAACATACACACACGCATGTACAACATGAACTCTTGAGCTCAAAGTCAACACCACTGCTTTCTGCAACTTGAGGAAAATGCAGAGCTGGAAGAAAGTGGGCCGTATCAGAAGTTATTTACCTATCTCTTCCTTCCTGTGTTTAGTTGGAGAGGGATTACAGTTGGAGAGGGGAACAGGGATGGAGTTTACTCCCAGGAAGACCCAGTAATAGCCCCCATCTCATGTCGTACCCCCCCCCCCCCCCCCCCCTTGTTCGAGACGGCTGTGTTTACATTGTTCTGCACAGCTCAGGCCTAATGTACTATCTGTTTTAATAGGCAAGAGAGGCCTGTTTATAGAGAGGGACCTTTTAACAGAGGTGATGGGTTGGCAGGCCAGAGGGCAAGACTAACTCATCTCACTTCCTGTTATCATTACCTCTCTTCTATCAGACAGATAGGTGCTTGGCTCGCTCCACTCTCTGCTTACTTTATCCCTAATCGCCTTCGCCATCCTGCTGGCTATTGATTGTTGCTTCAATTCTGTCTCCCATGGGTATGGAAATGAGGAACACCAGGAGGCCTCAATGAAGTTGCCCTCATATTAAACTTTCGTGG